TGAAAAGAAAAAGATAAACAGCAATGAAATGGTCAAAGCAATCTCTCAAAGGCTAAGAGGTAGTACAAAGAGCTACATAACATTTACCTAGTATTAGTTATTTAAGTAGTCCATAAATGATTTAATGGGAGTATATGAGTATGAAGTACTCATTAAGTACCCTATAAACATGGGAGTATATGAGTATGCAGAGACTATATGCAAACAATACACCACTTTTATGTAAGGAGTTTGAATATCCACGGAGTTTGTTATCTGATCCAAATCCCATATAAAGAGGAGACTGTAATGCCACAGCAGACAGGAAATCAGAGTTGATTCCAACTCATAAAAACCCTACAAGATGGGGTAGAACTTAGAAACCTCCGCACTTCTAAAACTAACTCTTTAGAGCAGCTGCTCTCAACCTGGGGGTTGCGACCCCTTTAGGGGTCGAATGACCCTTTCACAGGGGTGGCCTAAGACCATCAGAAAACACTATTTTCAATGGTCTTAAGAACTGAGACACCGCTCCTCTACACATTTCCAGGTGGGTCCACCCACATGCAGATACGCCCACATATGAGTACCCAGCTTCAAAGACTGTTACTCATGCTACAGCATGCATCAAGACAAAATTTCATTTGCCATTAGAAAAAAATATTTCACAATATATAAAATTATATACTGTTTTGTGATTAATATCTATGTTTTAGAGGAATAGAAAGCCCACAGGGTGGATGGTGGCTTCAAACTGCTGACCTTGAACTTACCAGCCCAATACATAAGCACCATGTGTCTCCTCCAGCAGACAGAGACAACCTGAAAAACTATGAAAAAACAAGAATTCCCTCCCATTGACATGTCTATTCCTGGTTGATTACATGAACCATCCTGGCCTCTCACCTCGTAACATGGCCTCAGCCTTTACAGATGCAATTTTTGCAGATATAAAAATCTGGCCCACAATATTTTTAGTACAAGACAAATAACTATCTACCTTTTAAAAAGGATAAACATATATTTGTCTACTCTACTTCACTTTATTCTGGTTGCTGAACAACACCTGAAAAGAAAAGTACCATCTTAAGATCCAAAGACCATACACTGTTTTCTACATGTTTCAGGAAAAAAAGATGTTAGCTAATTTACACAATAATTCTTTCAATTTAATGCTGTAAGTATGTGTTAGAAATACCTTAAGTAAGCAAAGAATAGCACTTTCCTAAACATTACGTACAGTTCAAAAAGCATGTGGAACAATTCTTATAATTCCATTGTTCCACTTTTTGAAGTTCCCTTATACATACAAAAAAGCTTCATTAAGTAAATCTAAAATGAAACTTTCAGTTTAATTTTGAATTTTAAAGCTTTATAAAAAACCAGAAAAACATAATTTGTATCCCTAGCACACTTGCTAACTAACCAAAAGGTTAGAATCAACTCCGATATACATCAGAAAAAATGCTTGGAGAGCTGCTTCCCAGAAAACCCTGCGGAGCACATTTCTACTCCAGTAAACACATGTAGCTGCTCTAAGCAGGAAATGAATAGATGGCAGGCTTTTTGTGTTTGTTTTTAAGGTTAATATAAACTATGCAGATAGATACATTTACTGTGAATATTTTAATAGGTAAAAAATAATTCAACACATTAGGATCTTAGTACATCCATCACTAACTAGCTACATAGCAGTTAGACAAATCCGCTCTGGAACTCATGGGTTGGTAAAGGTCTCAAAAAGTTCTAAGTAGAACTTATCCATGACTATAATATTAAATACACAATAGTTTTTGGCATTCACGAGCTTACCATTTCTATACCACCATCAAAACCTGTGATGTATAGGTTTTGCTACTAGGAATGAACCATAATCCTTTCCTCATATGGGTGAAGAGACCTGAAATGAAATCAGAGCTCCAAGTTAATGTAAGGCTATTGACCTAGCCCACTCACTGTTCACTCATCTCTATTAATGCTTTGACAGAATGCCTCAGAAAAGATTTGTGAATGCCATAG